TGCTTTGCTTTGAATTTCGCACAAAACTATTATAGGGCTATCTTTCCTAACCTTCCGTAATTTAGCAGTCATAGACAAGAAGGAAGGCAGCTGGTCAACACCACCCACCACCAACTCTTTGACTACCCTTTTACCAACACATTATAATGCCCCCACGACTGAAATGGCAAGCATGTTTAGTGATGGGGATTCGATCCCGCGACCTGCAGATTGCGAGCGGAGTGCCCTAACCACCAGTCTATGTCAGATCTTTAACCAGTGTAAGAATAGAATTGTTGTTCTTAAATAGTATTATTATATGTTGTTTTTGAATTTAGTCGTTTCTTTGTTTGATGTAGCGTGGTAGGCGTGGGCTTAATAACTAGAATCTTCTTGAATGTTTAGGAAACGATTTCAGCAGTAAAAAATGTAAGTTAAACTAGAATATATGATTATTAGTTATTGAGTTATTCAGTTGATGATAAATTATTAACTTAGTTAATATGTTAGTCACGTTCTCTGTTACTCTTAGCTAATTGGTTATTTCAGTTTTGTGAATATTGAGCTTATTTGCCGAAAAATAAATACAGATGTTAGAAAGTGTCATACGTACTAGAGGGCTTAGTAAGTAAGTGGAAATACTATATTAGTGTTAATTATTACTTTAGCATATCAGCGAACATTAAGCTAACTTGTAGAACTTTTAGTCGAAGAAATAAAACGCTTTCGTTATCATTAAGTAGACTGGACTTTGCATTCTTCTTTTTTTATTGAATAATTCAAAAGAACCCAACCAATAGTAGAAACTATTGTATCAACATTTTGGAGGCTTTAAATTAATACTACAACTATTGTTTAAAACATTAAATTTTTTCCAACCTAGAAGAAAGCTGGAGAGGCGTTTGGAAACGCCATTTCCAGTAATAGTGGTGTTGGTCTATGGCCTACCATGTTTGATGTAGATAACTTTTTTTGTTAGGAACAACAAATAAACTAAATATACTACAGATCACATAGATGGATCGTAGTGTAATAAGGGACTGAAGTGAAACATTCTTTCGTTGAAGGAAACAAATGTGATTTTTTTTCAGTTATACTTATGCTCGTAAAAAATGTAAAACTATCAGTACATATACTATGTGTATGAAGCAAATGTAATCTTTGGACGAAAATTCCACCTATATGGTTTGTTTGTTTAAATTTATGCACAAAGCTACACAATGGACTATCTGTGCTCTGCCCACCACGGGTATCTAAACCCGGTTTCTAGCGTTGTAAGTTCGCAGACATACTGCTGTGCTACTGGGGGGGGGGCATCTAAATGGGTAAATCTTAATCAAACTTGCCTAGTAAACGGTGGTGTAGTGTTAACGTTTGAATTAGGGGTCGCCACAATCACTTCCCCACTTGTACAGAACAGTACAATCATAAACCTCATTATTTGTTTGCTTGTTAAATTTCTCGCAAAGCTATTCGGGAGATATCTGCTCTAGCCGCCTCTAATCTTAAAATGATAGAAATTAGGGAAGGTAACTAGGCAACACAACTCACCGACAATTCTTGGGGTTCTCTTTATTAACTAATAATTGGATTGACTGTTGGACATTATAACGCCCCCACGGCTGAAAAGGTGAGCATATTCGACCACGAGGTTCGATCCCGCTACCCGTATATTATGAGTCAAGCATTTTAACTACTAGGCCTACTTCATTATTTAAAACAGCTACTGTGTTTATTACTTAATTTCAAATTACATGTATGTGAAAGCAACACAATAAGCAGTACTAGCACGGCACAATAAGTCGACGCTCCTTCGCAGGACTACACCACTGCTATTAAGTATCAAAATTACGATGTTTCCGATAGATTTCTTTCGTGTACTTTTCCTTTTGCCTCGGGGTAAAATACTTGAAAAAATCGCTTAAATACCCCGGGGTGACGGGGTTGGGGGTTTCCGGGGTGGACACTCTAGTAATAACTTGACAAGTAAAATAGTTACCCATTTTCTATTTTTAATTTCGGTGCCTAAAACTTACTTTTCAATTACTATGGTTAAAATGAAATGTGTGTTACCCACTAATCGAATATTGGTTATAAAAAATTTAAGCGCACTAATCGAATGCGCATTAATCGAGGGATCCCTGTATTTCTTGAATTGACATTCATAACTTCAAATAATCGACTCATTTTATCTTGTTTTTAATTGATACTGATAGCCTGCTGTAGCTTTGTAGTGCCCGGCATGGCCAGGTGGTTAGGGCACTCGATTCGCAATCAGCGGGTCGCGGGTTCGAATCCCCATCACACCAAACATGCTCGCCCTTTCAGCCGTGGGGGCGTTATAATGTGACGGTCAATCCCACTATTCGTTGGTAAAAGGGTAGCCAAAGAGTTGGCGGTGGGTGGTGATGACTAGCTGCCTTCCCTCTAGTCTTACACTGCTAAATTAGGGACGGCTAGCGCAGATAACCCTCGTGTAGCTTTGCGCGAAATTCAAAAAACAAAAAAAACATAAACAAAAAAAGCTTTGTAGTAGATTTAGATGTTTTTAAATACTTCCATCCCACCCTCTCATAACAATTTTAAGCGAATTCTTTACTATTTTACTGAACAAATATCTTTTTCATAACAATAATTCATAAAAACCATCGTCCTCATCAAAATCATCGTCATCATGATGATCGTCGTTGTTTATAGGAAACGCG